CCCCCTTTATCCCCCTTTATCCCCCTTTATCCCCCTTTATCCCCCTTTATCCCCCTTTTGGAATGCTCACAGCATGGGTCATCTCGATCTTTAATATCTAACTGCCGGTCTGATAACTTTTTTGCCGTGGGCCACCCTTACGCTCGGCCCGGGCTCATTAGTCACTGCTAGGTCTAAACTGTCATTTAAAGGCCGCACCTCGGCGATTCCTGACTTTGAACCTTAAAATGAAACTGGCTAGGAAGCATTAGTATGCTTCTTAGGATCCGGTTTAAACTGGGCGAAATACCCTATTAGTACCTTATGTTTTACTTTCCTAACTTTGTTAAAATCACAGTTTGTAGTATAGTCTACCGAAACTAAATTTGTTTTCTCTTGTGCAGAACGACGGCCTCCGAAGCACACGTTCGCCACGCTCAACTGCAGAACGCCACAGCAGAGGCGGAGGAAAAAAGATGGCGAGTACTTCGATGAGGACGACGCCGCCTTCGACGAGTTCGACGCCAAAACCTGCAGACTGACCCCCATCACGGCCATGGCCACGCTGGGGAGGGCGCCGCACGGCCCCAGAGTCACGAGGATGCTGCCGTCTCAGATAGACAGGCCGCCCCCGGCCTTCACAACCAAAGAGGCAAGTCTGACAATGGACACTCTAGTAAGTCGTGCATAACACACTTCAGCTGACCTAACCCGTCATTTCTACTTCCCTGCAGGTGTCGCTGTGCACCTCACCATCTAGGCCACTATCCATCAACAATATCGTGACTACTTCGCATAAGATTCAGGAGAGCTGTATATAGGCAGAATCCAATATAAGACTGTTATTTATAATGAAAAATGTGCCGTCTCTATTTCATTTCTTTACATTTATGTATAGTTTCTGTCATTTTTGCGTCATTTTGTGAGTTAAATAAACGTTACGACGAAAACAAAGCTACCTTTTTTTGTAGGCGTCTACGATCACAGTGACCCAAAGAACACCATGAAATCCTTCTGAGAACTAGAAGGGGTGAGCAAGCTGGCTGCCGGTTGTCTGTTTAAAGTAGAAAAGGAAATTTATTTTGCGTGTCTTTTTCAACTTTAAGTAAACAGGCAAAGAGCTAAAGTAGGACAAATGTTTGCCACAACAAAACATTGTCGCAGCTCCTACTAGACGTCACATGCTATACAACAAATAATAGAGTAAAGCAAATAGCAACCCCTTGCCGCACAAGTTAGGTGAAATTTTGACTGGACGGAACTTTTCTATGTTGGACTTCCACCATGAACATTCCCTTGAATATCAAAACAAAGTAGCTTTGAGTAAAAATTTGAGGAAATTGAAATGAAAATGTCATGCAACAAAATTTTTTGAGGAGAATTAGATGGAATTTTCACATATCGAAATTGTCAAGTAGAAAATTGACCGCCGGGAACAGCCCGCCGCTCCGGATTCACACACTCGCGTGAGATGAGCTCTCAAATCCCGCCGCTGCGCTGCTGGCGCGGGCCACTCGTCGTGCACAGTGAGGCCGGACTCCCGTCCGCGCCCGCCGCACGCAGTGGCCCACCCGGGGCCCGGAGCGGCGGCTCGCACGGCGCGACACACTCCGCCGCGACCGGCCCGCCCGACACCGTCCACCGCGGAGCGCAACGGAGAGCTGAGCGGACGGCGGGGCAGGAGGGAAGTCCGGCTCACAGCACCAGCACGCCCTTTGGAGACCAGCACCAGCCGCTCCTCAGGCCAAGCATCACCGAAACGTAGACGTCAGGCAAGTAGTGCAGTGTCGTGGAGGGCCGGGCCACAGGCCACGAGCCATACCAGTATGGAGTCGTGCTGAAGCTGCTCCCCGGTAGGGGTTTCCCTACGCACCACTGAGCGCCGCAGTGTCACGACGTGTCGTGCCCTTGGTGAGGGGCGTTGTAATTGTGGGGCGGGTCGACGTCGTCGTCCTCATCGTCACGCTGCTCGTCGCCGAGGTGCGCGCGTCTGTATATATTCGCAGGTCGTCGTCGCTCCGCGTCGCTCACTCGTGCCCGCCGCGGCGGGTAAAAGGTGTCAAACTTTTTTTCATATTCCCCTCATTTGTCGTGCGGCGACTACGAAAAACTCGATGAGAACCGGAACGGAAATTACTCGAAACAGAGAGGACCCTTTCGAGTGTTCTAACCAGGACACGGGCGGCGGGGGCCTGTCGATAGAGACAAGGGAAGTGATAGTGTACGCAACTGCCCCTTCGCATACTACGACGGCAAGAAGTGTGGGTGTCGCAGGTCGTTGCAAGGTGGGTGCCGGTTAAAAGGCATAAGGCCAAGGTGGACTGACAAGCAGGCCGCCGCCGCAGGAGGCCACGGGAGGCCGCGGGCCCCGCCTCCAGTCCCGGCTTATCTCGCAGGGGAGGCACTAGTCGGTTCCGTCCAAGACTGTTAGGGAAGTGGACTAGACTATAGTGCGCCCGCCCGCACCCCGCACCAGCGAGTGTACTGTCCCAAAAGTACAGCCAATCTCAATTTTGTGGGAAAATAGAGCCCGAGAAAAATATGCTGCAGTTTCTAGATATTCATAGTAGAGACGAAGTTATGTTCAGATCAGGGGAAAAGTCTGTCGTCTCTAGTGGGCCACGCTGTTAGCCGCGGACTTGCTTCAGATTCAGTGCAGCACGTTGAGTGCTGGCCACTAGTGTTTGTGCCTATATGATTCAAGCGTGACCACAGAGTGACCACATGCAGCACGCAATGTGTCGATATAACCCTAACTTCCCCCATGTCCCACCGCCGCGATGCGCGCTGCGGTGGGTTTGATGCGTGCCGCCGCCCACTTGGGGCCCGAGCCGACCAGACCGCAGAGACCGGGCCGCGAAGCCTCATCTTGTTATCCAGAGCCACCTGCGCCCCTCGCGGCCGGCCCGGCGGGGCCCGGGGCCCGGGGGCGGGTGAACTTGACACGGGCAGCGCTTGAGCTTGACCGCGCACGGCATGCCCGTCGCCCCGGCACCCGCCACCGGCCTTGTGGGAAACCGGTGTGCGGGTGCTTCGGAGTCGCTTCTATTAAGATGAGACCCGTCGGTCAACTTGTTTCAAGACGATTCAAATCGACGCCGATTCCCTCCGCGTACGATGTAAATAATCGCGCCGTGGGCGAGGGCGTATGTGTTGTTTATATTTCGAACATCAATAACATCGACGATGAGGTCAAATTCCGATGGGAGTGGTTTCGGAATTTTCATCGACGGCAAGGACAACAACCATGATCAATGCGTCCCTACCGGTTCAGTGTTCCCGTCTCGCCGGCTTGACCCAGACTGCCCCGTCCAGTGAGTTTATTGCTCTTTGCCCGCCGAAACTCTTCACCGCCGGCACTGGGGCTGTGGCAGTCAGTGAACCCAGAAAAATTATTTCTTGTTTCGAGTACATTTTTACTAAAAAGTGACCCATGATTATTTTTTTTCTTGTTACCGGGACAATTTTTTATTTGAAGTAAGAAAATTTACTTAAAAAATCGAAAGGTAATATCATCGTGTGTCAAGAGTCAAATTGATCTTAGGTCAAAATGTAATACTTGAAATAAGAAAACATTTTTCTGGGTGTGGGCGCCGCATGGCATTCCTCCACCGAGAGTCTAGTCGCGTCGCGTCGTCGCGTGGGGCGTTTCCGCTTTATAAAAGTTGCCACGTCCGGATCTTTCAGCGTATGAAAAGACCCCCCCTTGTCAATAGCGGCACCACCACCAGCTCTGCCCCCCGGGAGCATGTGCGGTGCGGGGAACGGCCGTGGGCCGGCGCCGGCGCAGCACCCCGCGCACGAGGTACCCGAGGTACAAACAAACAGTAGCAGCCGCGGGCGAAAGGGTGACACGACGGCCGCGGCCGGTTCATTCAGCGCGAGCCGTCGCGGCCGGCGGCCGTCCTTCCCGCCGCGGCCCTCGGCACATGGGAAGTGTTCGCGGCTAGCGCGCCCGTTCGGCCAGGGGAAGGGCATCGCGCGCTCAGCTATGGCCCGTTTCCGCGTTGTGTACGAATCCTGTCGACGTACGCAAAACTACTACTGCGAGCTGCTACAAAACGACAGGCGAGCAGCAAAACGACCGGCGCGAGCAGCGGCGAAACTACTGTCGGCGCACAAACTACTGTCGGGGCACTGGCTTTTCAGCCTAGGAAAAGACGAGTGTGGGATAGAGAGTCAAAACAGGGGAACAGGAGAGGCACCCATCGTACATCTTTCGTACTCATCATCATGGGTGACGTAGCGGTCACTCACTCGCACGCACGCGCTGGTTGTGGTGGTGGTTGGGCTGGAGTGGGAGCGGCGGGAGCCACGTCCCGGACGGCTGGGCCGCGGACGAGACCCACCGCGACTAGGAAGGCCACCCTGAACTTGAAAAGTGCTCGCCGACATGACGTCATTAGGCGCCCCGAGCGAGCGCTGCTGCGGGTGTCCGGGGATTATCGCCCACCGTGCGAAAGCGTTCTTGTCTTACGCATTCAAGTTATGCGCGCTGGAGTGACGTGCGGAGGAGAGGGGGGCATTATATTTATATTCACGAGAAACGCATTTAAACTTTGAACGGAAAATTTTGTGGCCCTCGGCCTAGAGTTTGCAAACGGTCGGTTACTACCCCGGCGAGCTTATCCGACACTCTTCTGTCTC